GTGTAGTGACAAGACAAAAGAAAAGGGCTTTGACGTTTTGGGGGCAGTAAATTGTGGGAAGGTAAATATTCAGAAAATTAATAAAAGACAGGGGTTACTTCCCTAAGTTCTATCTGTGCAAGCCCATTTCACTGTTGGCTTTTTGTTTTCTTCATGGCTATAAAACTCCCCTGGGAGAGAGGATTTATGGAAGTCCTTATTTCCCAGAATTTTCTACTCTTAGTCAGATAAGGGAAGCTACAGGAAGGCTTATTTCTACATGTGGTGATTCCCAGTTACCTTCACTCAAAATAATCCTATATGCCAAAGTGATACATTTTGGGATGGCATTTTCTGATCCCTTTCAGCTGTAGTCTGGGCCCAGGAAATGGGGTGATGACAGGGAAGAGTTGTAGAGTTAAGGAAGAGCTTATGTATTTTCTTCAAGGTGAGAGATATTGCACTACAATGGGAATAAACCAATAGAAAGAAAATGATGATGTAAGAAACAATAATAATAAGATGTGATGCATGAGTGAAATCATGAGAAGGCAAGAGGGGATTGTTTCCACCATGTCGTGAGGAATTATAGGCATATAAATAATTTTCCCTTGTTCCTGGAAAAGTTGAAGATGCAGGTGGCATGGTAGATTTGCGGAGGGCAGATAAAAAGTTCCCCTTTTGGTTGCTTCAGTTTTCTTGGTGGAAGGGAAGATTATCATCTGAAAAAGAGATATGTGTTTGGGGTAAGAAGAAAAGCTATGAAATCTTTGACTGGACTGTCAGGAGAGCAGTTGTACTACGGAAGTGCACGTGTTGTCAAATCATGATACTGCCCAGTAGGGGTTCCTTTGGCAAACAACTTTTCCTTGAAAAAACAACCTTGACCCTTTCAATCACCATTCCCTCTTCTCCTAAACCTTAGTCTGCTCTGTACCACTGCTCAACCATACCATTGCTTCTGCAGCAGAGGAATAGGAAGAAGGAGGGGAGATTAAGTGAAAATATAATTTCAGGACCCTTTGCATGATCTAGCATGAATGATATAATTTTTTTTAATTAACAGAAGAAAATAATAATTAATGCTACTCCCCTCCAATGTATTACTTGGCTTTAAATTCTGTTAAATTAAATGATCCATACAAGTTAACCATTTTCTACATACATTTGTAAAATTTGGTCAGCCCATGTCCCACCTTGGTAAACATCACTTTTAAATAAACCAGGATAGTTGCAACAGGTCTGTAAAACTTATTTCTAATATATCTGTGTTAGAAAGGGAGGCCATGAGTGTGTTTCATATTGACTTTATTCATTCACTCAGTTATTCATTTTCTGCCGTGCACCATCATGCTGATAGGTACTAGGGTCATAATATTAGACAGTGTCTGCTTTTCAATAGCCTCAATGGCAAGGATATATAGACAGAGAAAATCCTATGTGACGGTGGATGTAATAAAAACAGAAAGACAAATGTGAGAGAAGGAGCTAGGACACAAAACCCGGCCTGATGGAGAGGGAGGGTTCCTCAGAAAAGGTGGGGAATGCGACATCTGACCTAGGCTTGAATGATGAGTGGGAGGGAGTCAGCCAGATGGACAGGCGGGAGAAGGCTATTCCAGGCACACAACCGAAGGACTCTTGAGAACATGGGAACATATGGGGGCAGGGCAGTTTGCCAGAATGCACAGTGATGGAGGACAAGCAATTAGGGGGAGACCAGATATGGGTAGAAGCCCATCCAGACTCACCAAGGAGGTTGGAGTATATCATCAAGACTATTTGGAGTGCTAAGCGTGATATGTATTAAAAGCCTCAGGAAACAGCATCTAGCAGATTAGCATTTTTGGTGCATGGTGTAGTAATCAAGGAAGACCATCTATCAGTAACATTTGTGTCTATTTACTCAGGTTTTGAAATGACCATAGAACCTATCTAGCCAACTTACCATTAGAGTTTTATTCCATTTGAAGCTTTGTGAGATCATTTTAGAAGAAAAACAATGCACACAGGACTGCATGTTGAAATCATAGCCCAGATTTATCAGTTTAGGATGGCACTTAATGTGTCATAGATGGGTGAACTAAGTAAGATGAAGCTAACATCATTAGAAAATGTTTGCATATTTTAAAACACAGCTACAATAAAAGTGTCTAAGGAAAATCACTGGGTTTGTCCATTTTAAGTGTTCTAAGTGGGATCTAAAGCGCCCCATGCAGCTAGGAATGGCTTTCACCATACAATGGCTGCACGCAGATGCACGGCCTTGTGCTGCCATCTCCCAGTAATGCGTGGTGTGGAGTGCAGCAACCACTCCGTCTTTGTGTTGGCTGCTGATACCATTAAAGACAGCTTTTCTGTGAGCCTAAACTGTTTTCTGTCGTTGCCCACAACCCCTCCCCAAACGCACACACACACTGCTGCCATTTGCCAGTTCAGGCTAACCTTTTTGGATCTGCTATCTGGAGGAAGATACCATCAGCAACATTAGCCATTAGCCAATTTTCTGCTTAATAAACCTCCCTGATCTCTCCCCAACCAAATGGTGTCTCTGGTTTCATACATGCCATTTTCTCTTACGATAAGTTTATGACACAGGTGAACTTCCTTGTGTGGAAATAAACAAGATAATGTCTTTTTGCATCAGCTTGCTGAGGAGAAACCATAAGTTACTTTCAAGAGGATTTGAATAATAACCTTAATAAATAGCTATAAGCAGCTTTCATACAATTTCTAAGAGGAGGTTTCAGTAACCCAGTTTCTAACTTATATTGACTTGGTTGTCCAATTCTTCTGTGTCTAACCTAGTATTTGGTTGCTAGTCTAGTTTCTGCAATTTTGACAACCAAAGTTGTCATCTTGTGATTGGTCAGAGAATGTGCTTGTGGGATGGTACTGAGTTCAAGAATAAGGCATGAATATTATATGCGCACCAACTGTGGCTTATATTTTGGGTTAATTAGTGCAACTTTGTAAGCTTTACTTCTATCTTCTGTAAAAAGGGGTGAGACTGCCTTGCTGCCTGAACTGTTTATACTCACATTGTTTCTGTTGCTACATGTGTCTTTTGTTTTACCCTCCAGCAGCCAGCTCTCCAGACACCAAGTGGATGTCCTACAATTCAGTTCAACTCCGGCACTAACTATTCAGACTCAGTACACACCCCACGGTTAAGGGCTCAGTCCCACAGGTGCCACTATTTCAGATGTCGGTTGCCGCCTGTTTTTCTGATCAATTGGCTATAGACTGAGGGTTTCTGTGACCACTTTCTCAGTGTTGATAATTTGATAAATGGCTTGTAGAACTTAGGAAAATGGTTTTCTTATAATTGCCAGTGTATTATAAAGGATACAATTCAGGAACAGACAACTGGAAAGATACGTAGGGCACCTGTGTACAGATACAGGGGAAGGGAGTTTCCATGCCCTCTCTGGGTGCACCACCCTCCCTGGTCCTTAACATGTTCACCAACCCAGAAGCTTTCCAAATCTTATTTAAGAACTTTCATAGAGCTCAAACTAGAGACCTCCTCCTACCCCTTGAAGGTGGTAGGTGGGGTTGAAATTTCCAACGTTCTCATCACTTGGTCCTAAGACCATCATGAGGCTATCTAGGGGCCCAGCCTGTCACCGCATTAGCATAAACTCAGGTGTGATGGATAGGGGCTCATTATAAATACCAAAGGCACTCAGGAAATATCAAGGGTTTTAGGAATAATGTGCCAGGGACAAAAAACAAATACAGTTTTGTATTGTATCATACTTCCCCATAGCACTACAGAGAATATTAAATAAGCACTCTGTTGGAGAGTTTTATAACATCTAAAGTGACAGATGATGTAAATATTTAGAATATTTTCAATAATAAAAATGTATATGTTATACTAGTGTAAATGTAACTCTGCTCCATTATCAAGTTGACTGATTCTAATGAACAGAAGGTTTTGGTTTTAATTATTCTTATCTGATATTTATTTCTGTTCTCTTCTCTGATCATTTGGGAGAAAATACTATCAAATATTTCCCCTAAAACTTGAATTTACTCATGTTTAAGGTAGTTGTAATAGCCAATAACACATTATTCCCAGACAAATAATTACCAATGAACTCCATCAATCAATGGCCTTCCAAAGACCAACAGCCTTCAGGACCTCCATTCCAGGGATTGATGATCCAATCATGGCAAGTGATTAATATGTCTGGTTATAAAGAAATTAAAAATGTGAGTAGTTCTGCATGTGGATCATCATACCTCACACTTCAGTGTGATGGGGTAAATAGGTAAATATCCAGAAATCTTATCAAATGTTCAGTTATTTGAAGAAACTTGGGGTATTTTTATTGATATGATTTTGTTTGTTTGGTGTGTATAGCCTCTTTTAGTCTCTGCATAAGATATACAAGATTATGAAAGCCAGCATAAAGTCATTTCCTTTCTGCCTCATTACTAAATTCCTGAAATCTTTATCTGTTTCATTTTGGGTGTGTGGGGGTTTTATTATTATTATTATTTTTGAGAATCAGCATTCTTAGCTAAGGATTATAACAATTTCAAAGTGCTTCATGTAAAAGAGTTGTTCTGACTGAAAGATACACCCATTTTAGCCATACATTTAGAAGAATCCACTTTTTTGGGGGGGAATTGCTTTTCATTCCTTAATTTTCTGTTAGACCTACCAAGACCTTGACATACACATCTTGAAGTGGCACAGTTTGTATTTGCTCACAGTTTCCCACTGAATGATTCTGTAGGAGCCTGTGTTTTTTTTTTCTGTTCCTCAAGGTCGCCAGCTGACCCAAGATAGTCACAGAAGCAGAATCCACCTTCTCATTCCTTTTGACACTCCACTGGCCCCAGATATCCATTAACTCATTTTACCCCCACCCCCCCTCCACTAGTCACGTTTGTCTTCCTTCTCTATTCGCCCTTTACTAGGGAAAGTTGCACTTCCCTGATATATTTCTGTTTTCCATTTTAGCTTTCAGGAAAAACAGTGGTACTCCTGGATGTCTCTGATTGGCCTTTTCTGCCTCCGGACTTCTCTACCTAATGAAACCCTTGATTCCAACTCCTCTGACTGTGAGGGGACCACCCAGCAGATTGCCTCCCATGACCTGCAGAGAGACATGGACTAGGAGTCACAGATGCAGAAAACACAAACTCTCACCTGTTACTTCCAGCAGCCAACGAGCTGTGGGACTATGAGTAAGTCATTTACCCTGCTTGAGCTTCAGCCAGCTTATGTTTAAAATAAAAGTTGGATTCTAAGGGCCCTTTAGACTCTTCCCTTGTAGGGTTTAAATGCCTAGAAAAATTATATGATTCAGACAAATGTTCACTAAGGGCCTCCTGAGATTACTGGTCTCTGTCTTTACTTGTAACACCAGAAATGTCTGAGTCATAAATGTCCACAAAGTTAAGGGTCTGAACATTAACCTTCTGAAATAACAGCCTCAAGCTGTGTGGATTTCCATAGACTACCAACTGTTTAGATCAAGAACTGTTCCGTAATTCACAGCATTGTCAGACTCAGCCTGGATCAGATTCTGTAAAATATTTCAGTCAATTATGAATAAGCAGTTGAGGGAACTCCTAAATAGACCCAGGGCAGTACATGCTGAAAAAATGCAATATACACGAAAATCTTTCAATGAAGAATTGGATCTAAATTTTAAACTAGAGAAATAATAGAATCTTTAAATAAAGAGGCTTCATTGCAGACAAAAACAATTTGTTAATGGAAAAAGCAACTTTTGAGTTGGGAAAAATCCACTTATTTAGAGAATTTTCTGTTATTTCCATATGTTATGTATGTATCTGAAAGTTTTATTTTTTTTAATATTCTTCTGATTTGCAATTGAAAATCTCTCCTAGAGTTTCACATCCCTCCTTTTCACCTCTCATTTCCAAAGATGTCTGGATTGAATATAAGTTCTTCAGCTATAACTAAACTCCACAAACATTAATGGTTCTCCTCATCCCTGGAATATTTATCTATCTATCTATCTATCTATCTATCTATCTATCTATCTATCTATCTATAATATGTGTAAATATATAGAGATATATATGTTCAAATATTCATTGAATAGCTGTGTATAAATTTTTTCAGGGCTATTCAATGAAGCATTTTTTTGACACTGAGAAACATTGCCAAGGACTCTGGATGCTAATAAATAGAGTAATTCAGTAACTTTGTTGCACTATGTGCTAATAAAATAATTTGAAAAAAGACAAAGAATGTACCATATTCCACAAACTGATACAGAATGATTTTGGGTTGTAATTTTTAAAGTAAAGCACAGTGCAAAAGAGCATCTTTAGTATGTTACCATTCATTTTAATAATGTAAGGAAGTATATGCACTTATTTATTCATTTATGCATGAGGAAATGCAGGAAGAATAAACCAAAAATGAGTGCAATTAGTTATTACTGAACAGTACTGGATATTTTGATATATGTATGGTGGGAAAAAATGAATCCTGACTGGACATCCACATGCAAAAAAATGAAACTAGACACAAACATTACACCTTTCACAAAAATTAATTCAAAAGAGATTGTAGACAGGGACTCTTTTGTCCCCTCCTGGAGTGAGCCAGGAGGTCTGTCCTCTTCCTTTATTTCTAAATAAAAGCCTCTCCCTGGCTCTTCTACCTTGGGTGTTTGCTAAGTTCATTCTTTGTCTCTGCAAACAAGAACCCCGGCATCATTTTTGGGGACTCGTCTGGGATAACTTCAGAGGTGAGTATCAGCATCCAAGCCTGCCTTTTCTTTCACTGTCCTTATAGAAGGAAGCCATCTGTGGCTCACAACATGGGACACTTGTCAACCACTTAAATGGGACTAGCCTGGCTGCCGACCTCAAAATCTCGAGTGACGGGTTCCCCTCCCTCAGTGGATCCCCCTTCTCCCTTGGGAGCTGGGAAAGTCACCTGAGTGGAGGCCAGGACTCCCCTTCAGAGGCATCTCCCTGGATGCGAGGGACTGAGGAAGGCCGTGGGCAAGTGCGAGAGCCTAGGCTGAGGCTACACTTCAGCAGCTTCTCAAAGGCCCACGTGTCTGTAATCAGACCCTGACAGCCCGACTGGGTATCCATGAGGCGTGTCTCTCTTTCTCTGTCTGACTTTCAGCCTGTTTTTTCAGGCCACCCTTGACCTCTGAGTGAGGCAGGGTGCTCTTTACTTCCTTTACACCCTCTATGTGGGCCTCTAAGTTCATCAGTTTCGTGGAACCCGATGATCACTACCGTAAGGTGGGAGATCTATGCTTCACTCTTACTCTTGACTAAATGCTGTTTTCATAAAAATATGTCTGGGCACCCATTAGCCACTTAAAAGATGATTCATGTCAGTCACCAGTCTTAAGTCTCAGGTAAAAGGTTTCCTGGTGTCTGCTGCTCCTTGATCCCCCGCCTCTAGATGGGAATGTTGGAGAGTGACTGAGCCTACCTCCCACTTTCCTATCCTAATCTGCGGACTCCTAGTAGACAGTGGCCCTTGGATCCCCACTCCGGCTGATTGATCTGATAGTGCCGAGTGAACCTCCAGCTAGGCTGCTGCCTATGTGAGAGTTGCAGATGACCCCTGACCTCTTTATCTGACATGTCATATTTCTTACAGTGGGTGACTAGCAGGATAATTCCCTGGCAGTGGCAGAAACTGGTGTTTGAAAGTATAGACCCCCCCTTCATAACTGTCCATGGCAGCCTCTGTCTGAATTTTATCTTTGGCCTTAGAATAAGCTCCCCTGCTCCTCATTCAAAGCACTCCTCTTGGGGCTGTACCGCTTTCTCCTGGGTAGTGTAAATGAGATTTGTGAAGTAGTCAAGCTGAAAACTGAGCCCAACATATAGATGGCTCTATTCTATTGACCTCCCTTCCTTAAAGGCAGTCCTCCTGGGGCTGTGGCATTTCCTTTTCTGCAGCCCCAGGGAAGTGAAACACGCTTGTGACTCTAACTGACCACGGCTCTGGCAGCGAGAGGTCACACAGTCCCTGCATTTACTGGACAGGCAGGGGCCTATCAAAGAATGATCCCAAGTGTACTATGCTAAAACCTGTGCAGAAGAAATTAGGGTCTGGATTAGAACTCCCAAAAGATGTAAAGTAAGAGCACACTAAATCCAGAGCTCTGAGGCAACTCATGCTTAGTGGGAAGGCAAGAGGGAGATCAAGGCAAGGTGCAGGCCATGCTGGTAAGGAGTGGTTAAGTCCAGTAGGCCTGACAGAGGGGGTGATTGACCACTGTCACCCAGGCTCCAAGGCGAGGGGACGCCCTCACAGAGAAAAGGCCAGATGGGAGCTCCCTCTTCATGTTTAAAGCCAGACACACCTCTGGCATGCATTCTGAAGAATTTGGAGGAATTTGATCCCCAAACCCTGTAAAAGTAGTGCCTTATCTTCTGCATATAAGCCTGGCCTCAATACAAACTCTCTGATTAGAGAGGCTTGGCCCCTGAGGGAAATACACAATATAATAAGGTTATGCAGCTAAATTTATTTTGCCATAGGGAAACAAAATGGTCAAAAGTCCTGCGGACTACTACAATATAAAACTCTTTTTCTAAATCCTTTTATTGGAAATCTATTCCACTTATTGGGTTCATCATTATCCTCAAAAATTGGGAGATTTTTAAACTAGACTCCTTGAAAGAGAAGGATTTATCTTTTGCAATACAGCCTGGCTTAAATCTTTCAAAAGAAAAAAATGCTTAAAGAGAGGGTTGACTTTGTAATGTTTAGGGAAGGTTTTGGTTGTTAAGAACGAGTGAACTAAATAAGTGTAGTAACTGAATTTCTTGGTTACAAGGATGTTGGGTTAAGAATATCCACACAAAGCAAACTTCCCAAGCCTCCAACATCAATGGAGTAGTAGTGTTTTTCACTGGTATGATCACCTAGCCTCCATTTTTATACCATGTCTTGGTTTAGGAGATATAATTTGGCATACCAAATCCTTAACTAATTTTACTCAAAAGGCCTCATACTGAAGTTTAATGCACCAAGCAGTTATACAAAATAGAATGTTACTAGACATCTTAACAGCAGCACAGGGTGGGACCTGTGCTGTAATTAAAGTTGAGTGTTGTGTATACATTCCAAATTATTCACAAAATGTCTCTGATTCACTCCAGGACCTCTGAAAGCAAGTCCAAACTATGTAAGGCCTAGAAATCCCATCGACTACTATGATATGGAGCTAGTTTTCTAAATCCTTTTGGAGTCATAAAACTGCAAATGTGTATGGAAATGGAGCCCAGGATGAAAATGCCCATCTTCCAAGGTCTCTTGGCCAACCACTGATGGAGACCTAGCTACACCCCTTACTGTGCCCCCACTCAGCATGAAGCAGCCAGAGCGGTCATCGCCCCCTTTCCCTAGCAGCAGCTAGGGTCTCCATCTGTAGAGGGGGGAATGAGACAGGGACCACGGGCTTAGACACAATAGGCTGAGGGCATTCGGGAAAACAAAGCAAGATAATCTATTGTAGGATTTGCTTCGGCCTGCTGAGGGGCCCCCCTTATTTTTTTTACTTTACCAGGTGCTGCTTTCCTTACTCCAGCCCTACACAAGTGATTTTCAACCTGGGCAATTTAACAAGCAAGCCCAAAACAACATATTAAAAACAGGAAGGATTCCATCTTGAAGATAGGATTGCATTTTAAAACCCAGTTAGTTAAAAAGTAAGTTTCTTAACATACTCCTTAACAAACAGACAATAACTCAGCCCACCTTGGGAGCAAAGCAGGCATTTTGAGTGATATGCTCCCAGACCAGGAAGCTGCTATCCTGGGAGGAAATCAGAGCAGTAAATTTCTTGTAAATAACCCAGGAGACTAATAAGAAACTTAATGTCTCTTCAAAGATAAACATTTTGGGACACTTAGCAGGTGTGCATCCCTAGCCCTTTGTCTCTCAACTGCCTAGGAAACCTCTAGGCAACACACCACCACAGACTTTCTTGTCCCCTCCTGGCCTGAGCCAGGAGCTCTGTCCTCTCACTTTATCTCTAAATAAAAGTCTCTCACTTGCTCTCCTGAAAAAAACAAACAACAACAACAAATAGATTATAGACTTAAAATTATAGAACTCCTAGAAAGTAACATGAGAGAAAAATCTACATGCCTTGGGTTTGACAATGACTTTTAAGGTAATACTGAAGTATGATTCATGATTGCTGTTCAGGGAATGAATGACAAGCTATAGGCCAGGTGAAAAATCTCTTCAAAATGCATATTTTATAAATATGAGAGTGGTAAAATATAAAAATAAGATTTAAAACTCAATAATAAAGAAACCAAACAACCAAAATTTTTAAATGGACAAAATACCTGAAGAGATACCTCATTGAAGAAGATATGCAGATGGTAACAAACATATCTAAAGATGTCCAACAGCATGTCATCCAGAAACTGTGAATTAAAGTAACAAGATACTTCTTCGTGATTACTACTAGACTGGCTAAAATCTAGAACATGGACAACACCAAATCTGAGCCAAGATGTGGAGCCGCAGGAACTCTCATTTATTGCTGATGGGAATACAAAATGGTATAGCCACCCTGGAAAAGAGGTTCTTATAAAACTAAGCAAAATCTTACCATATGATTAGCAATTGGACTTCTTTATATTTACCCAAAGGAGTTGAGACCCTGTGTCCATAAAAACCCTGCACAGGAATGTTTACAGCAGCTTTATTCATCAGTGCTGCAAGTGGAAGCAACCAAGATGTCCTTTAATAGTGAACATGGATAAACAAGCTGTGACACATGCATACATACAATAGTATTCAGTGATCGAAAGAAATGAGCAATCAAGCTACAAAAAAAAAAAAATGGAAGAGACTTACATGTATTTTGCTAAGTCTATCTTAGAAGGCAACATACTGTGCAATTCCCAACTATATTACTTTATGAAAAAGACAAAAGTAGGAACATAGCAAAAAATCAATAGTTCCAAGGAGTTCAGAAGGAAAGAGGGAGGAAGCAACAATTAGGTGAAGCTCAGGGGAGTTTTAGGGCAGTGCAGCTATTCTCTCTGTTACTGTAATGATGGATTCACATACATCTGTCAAATCCATAGCATGCATGACACCAGGGTGATCCCTAATGTGTACTATAGACCTGTTAATAATTTTGTATCATTATCATTATGATATTATTTCAAAATTGCATTGGATCATTAGTTGTAACAAATGTGCCACATTAATGAAAGATGTGAATAATAGGAAAGTGAAACACACATTACTGGTGAGACTGTACAATGGTGCAGCCACACGGGAAACACTTCACCAGTTCCTCAAATATTAAACCTAGAATTACCAATGTATTAGTTTGTATGGCTGCCATAACAAAGTACCTTAGACTGGGTGCCTGAAGCAACAGAATCTTACTCTCTCACAGTTCTGGAAGCTGGTAGTCCTAGATCAAGGTGTTCACAGGACAAAGCTCTTCCAGGCCCCGACCCCAGCTTTTGATGGTTGGCCAGCAATCTTCTATGTTACTTGGTTTGCAGACACATTGCTACAGTCTTTGCATTCTTGTTCATGTGGCATTCTCACCACATGCCTGTGTCCAAATTTCCCATGTATGTGGACACTAGTGCCCTTGAATTAGGGGCCCACCCTATCCCAGTATGACTTCGTCCTTACTAATTACAACTGCAATGACCGTATTTCTAAAGAAGGTCACATTCTAACTTACGGGGGTTTAGGACTTGCACATGTGAATTTTAAGGGGATATAATTCAATCCCTAACACTATGCAATCCAGCAATTTCATTCCTAGGCGTAGGCCAATCCAAGAAGTATACCCATGAAAGCACACATTTATATAAAATTTGTCCATGAATATTTAGAGTAGCATTATTCAAAATAGCCAAGAGGTATAAATGATCTAAATGTCTACCAATTGATGAATATATTAAACAATATGGTGTAGCAATACAATTGAATATTATTCAACCATAAAAAATGAAATCTTGATACATGCTATAAATGAATGTACTTTGCAAACATTTTCTAACTATAAGAAGCCAGATACCAAAGGCCTCCTAATGACCTACTCCATTTTTTGTGAAATGTCCAGAATAGGAAAATCCATGAAGATAGTGAATAAACTTGTTATAGGACGGGAGGTGGGGGAGTAGGGAGTGACAGTAATGAGTTTGGATTACTTTCTGGGGCCTGAAAATGTTCTGGAATCAGAGAATGGAGATGGTTGTACAACCTTGTGAATATACATACTTTCTTTATTAGCTTCTTTCTCTTCTAACCTTATGCTCAATCTCCATTAAATTTAAACCAGACTTGGTAAGATCCTGCCTGAACCCTAACAGGTTTGGTAGAAAAAAATTCATTTTTTTAAATGGTAAAAACAAGTTCTGGAGTTTCAACACCTAGGTATCCCACAGACAATATAACTTTTCTTCCAGAGGCTAGGTTTTTACAGCTGCTTATTCCCAGAAAGTTGGTGTCAGTTCCCTTAAGCTGAGTCATCGGAACGCCCCTCCCATGAAACACGTTGCCTTTTTTATTCCTTGTGGCCAGAAAGAACACACTTCTTGGTGTAGGTAAGTGGGTGTTCCAAAGAAACTAGTACAGGGTTCGGGCTTTGGTTCTATGATCTGGGGGAGGACGGAAGGAAGCAGGCTGCCTTCTGCTGGGCACTGTCAGTCAGCATGCGCGATTCTATGACTGGAGTCAAGGAACAACAGGCATGTCCCTCTGAAAAGAGGAGGGTGTTTGGGATTTTGTAGATTGCACAGTGACTTGTTTTTGCCAGTAACTCGGCAAAATTATGAGGCCTCGTTTTATCTCATTTTATGTAAGTCTCAGGGTAATCTAATCTGAGGCTGATATTCAGTATCTGACGCTATTTTCAACATGAGAGCAAAACGGTCAGGCTATGAGTGTTTGATCAGTTCAGGGTAGTGGGTCTGGTATTTTCTTTCTTACTAGAAATCCGTAAAATAGAGAACACAAGAATAGAGGACATTCTTGTCTCACAACCCATAGGTGCAAACCTGACTGGGTAACAGTGTAACTTTGACTGTTTCTTGATTTTTCTATGGCCCAATTTCTCATTTAAAAATGGGTAAAACAGGAGTTCTTCCTGCCTGGGTTGTCCTAGGTTTTAAATGAAATGTGCACATAAAGCATTGGGCTCAGTGCCTGGCACATAATAACTACTCAATACGTATTGACTCTTACCAGTTCATCACCGTCATTTTTATTATCTGCTTTGTTCATTCAAACAACTACTGACCCCTTCAGCATATGGATGGCCATTATTGATAAGTATTCCCAATTGATAGAGTAAAATTGGTTGTAATTTTTATTGTTATAAACAATGCTATAGGGACATCTAAATATATCTATGTCTCTTCATCAACACTTGTGCATTTCTCTAGAATGTATTCCTATAAAGGAAATTGATGTTTACAAATATATTTGTACATATCTGATTTTACTAAATTCTGCCCTATTGCCTTGCATAGAAGCTTTGCCAATTCATATTTGCAATTATTTCTGAGAATATTCTTTTCTCCATCCTCTTGCCAACATTGGATAGCATCTGTACCTACCATTTATTTTTGCTAACAGTTAAACTCTTGAGAGATTTACTCACATAAGTTTACAATATGGCCTAACCTAAGTGGTATTCTGGAAAAGCTGACATAAATCTGATTTTTTCTCTGCCAGATTTTATTACTTCTCTGTTCTCTTACATAATCTGAGGCAAGAGCAGTGCAAATATATCACTCTTACTTGGGTTTGCACATTTTTCTGGGGTTTGAGGGTGAGAGGCTGGTTCACAGAAGAGATTTGAGGCTGGGTTTGCCCGACTTCCACTGGTAGAAAGCCCAGGCTGCACAGAACTGGGCACCCACTCACCCTGAGGAGGAAGGGCTCCATGATGGGGCCTGAGAAGATAAACATTGGAAAACAGAAATATTTAAGTTTAAATTTTTGATGGAATAAGAATATAAAATTAGATCTTTCTTTCTAGTCAAAATAAGAGGAGAGATTACTTTCAAAGGACTTTGGGGGAGCTTAAGAAAGGAGCTATTCTATCACTTTCCTTAAACTGGCCACCTACACTCGTAACTCGGTATAAAACCTTGTTGGGCAAGCTCAGGAGAATAAGGAGTGAGAAAGGTCTGCCACAGGACATAGAGAGATGGTGGGTTCACAGACAATGTCACATGGAGTTAAGTGTTATGCCGTCTTTATTCTTTCAGAAATTTGGTTGGTGACATTAAGAAGACATTCCTCCAACATCTGGAATGCCCTTCATAGTGTCCTTGATGTCCCAAGGGCTTGGCAATGGTCACATGAAGGTGAGCATGAGATTTCTAATGGGCCTCTTGGGTTTTTTTTTGCTCTTACAGGGATTAACATAGATGTTTCTGAAAGTTAAAACATCTGGAGAATAGAGATACACATCTGAATTTGTTCCTTATTGTCACATATTAACAGATTACAAAAACAGTGGTTTTGAAGAACACACATTTGCTATCTCACAGTTTTCTAGATCAGAAGTCTGGAATGACATGGCTGGGTACCCTACCCACAAAACTGGTTGATATGTCCTCTCTGCCTGAATAGATCTGACATTGGCCATGCCGCGGTTCTGTCTCCATCAGGGGCTGCCCCATGACCTCATGCCCCTCCGGATCCTCTGTATTGACCTGATTTCAGTCAGTCATGATTTCTTCCAACTCCCCCAGGTGGCTTAGGAGAAACCCTAGAACTGATCTCTCAGCCATTTCTTTTCTCCAGGAGGAGAGTAAAATTACAGGTCTTTATAAGAAAATGACCCATATGACAGCTAAGATTCCCCAACATTTAAGGTAGAGGAGAAACTTTAAAAGACAGTGGAGGTACTAAAAGCCCAGCCTAGGGAAGCAGGGTCCTCTTTGTGTCCCTCAACATGTAGGCACCCTTCCTGGAATAGGAACATTCAGTTTGATAGAACTGTACAAGGCTGGCTCTGAAGGCCAAACAGGAATGCTTTCCCAGGATCGGTCCTCTCCTCATGAGATCTGTGACCTTGGGAGATTTTGCAATCTTCCTGCACTTTTTTTTCCTAATAAGGAAAATGACAAAGCTAACTAATAAGATAGTTCATAGGATTAAATGTGGTCACTTGAATGATAATAGACACCAAGAATACATTTGCTTTGAGTCCTCCATTACCCACTCTAAATTTCTAGACAGAAAACAATAGGCAGAGAACATATAAGATGTTCTACAATAAATATTCTCCCACCATTTCTGGAAAGAAGTCACATATATAGTAAAAAGAACTGGAGAGGAACAAGAGCCTTTTGAACAGCCATCCCCAAACCCTGAAGCAGGGCTAGTTTCCATCTAAGACCACAGGTGAAAGTCTTGACCAGGTCCAACCCCTGCAGCCTTCCCTGTCTGGAATGAAACGAAGAAGTCCGCTATAGTTTTAGAACCTGGACTCCCACATGTTCCCAGAAAGACTCAATCAATTGTTCAACTCTTTGTCAAAATATTAAAACCAGGAGAGGTCAGGGCCAAGCTGAACCACATGGCTAGAACTCTCACCCAAATTGAAGGCAAGATATTAATAAATAGCATCCCCCGGATCTCTGTTATAGCATATGGATGCTCCACTGGCTTGGGAGGCAGGCCTGTGAACACCAGTCAGGAAGGATATGCATCAATTTATGGGAAACAAGATTCAAAAATCTCCCCATACCCCAAAGACACAGGAAATTTCTTCAAAGCGATGTGTTGAAGAAAAGAAAGCATAAATCGTTGTGATCTTTATTAGGTAATGGTATCTTATATATGACTGTTAAAGGAAAAACAGCTAATGAATACACAAACTGAGCTTCCTAAATATTAAAATATTTTGTGCTTCAAAAAATGCTAACAAAGAAGTGAAAATGACAACCCACAAAATCAAAGAAAATAGTTGCAAAAACATAATCTGAAAGGTGTCTAGTGTTCAGAATACACAAACTTGGAAAGAGCTCTTGTTGGACTAAAGAAAATCCCTAAGTGTCCATATGAGATGCTGTGTACAGTGACACAGAAACGACAAAGGAACCCACACCTGGAGAAGGGAAAGTTTAGGGGCAGGGATGTCAAATGTGGCTTATTTTTAATGAAAAGCCAGCGTGCTGGCCCCCTGAGGGAGGAGAAGCCAACAGAACACAGGGATGCAGCAGGGAGAATACTGAGGGAGTCAGGACAGAAAACATTTTTTGAAATTAGTTTTTCATCTTCTTAGTATTACTCTCTTTTGGTCCTATGCTTTTTAAGAATATTGGAGAAGACTCAAAGAAGAATACTGGGAGAGTCTAAAAGTCTGATGTCTTTCACTCATGGAAAAGCCTTAAGATCTGTTTTAATTTAAAGACAAGGTAGGACGACACAATGACAGTGCTTACAAATAAACCTTGTTGGGAGACCATCCCTGTCTTGATGATTTTGTATACACACAAGAATGAACACTGGGAACTACAGTCAAATGTGTTTTGGAAGGAGATAGGCTGGAAGCAGCGCAAGGTTAGCCAAGCATGGAAGTGGCTGCTGTGGGGTGGGGCCCACCTGTGGTGACCGGCCAAAGACACCCATCAGCCTTGCAGGTCAGTGCAGTCTAGGCCCCTGGGAGGCAGTGGCTCCCAAGATTCTGTGGCACCGCCCACCTTCAAATTCTATTATTGCAACTGTAGACTGTTAGCTTGGCACTGCCCCTCACCACTCTGCCCGAGTCTGAGCTGTGGGCGGAGCCTTCAGCTCTGAGCTCTGGCATCTTGACCCTTGTTTTTGCAGTTACCGACTGTTACGGATCCCATGGTGTTGATCAGCCTGTTCCCAACATGAAGTGAAGAATCCCAGCTTTTGTCATCTCTTAGTCCTGAAGAATCCTATTTGATTTCGCTTGTTTTTAGTCCCTCATAAGTTTGGCTTTGTTCTCCCCAGCCCATGGCCTTAGGACTTCTGCTACATGTCACCAAGGCAGAATCTCTGGAGCCCTTGTCTGATCCAAGCACAGAAATTAGCCTCTGGGAAGGCAACCAGGATCTTCAATCCCAGCTGGCAAAGTGCAAGCAGGACCTGCGAGACCTCAGGGAGAAATTCCTTATGACCAGAGCTACTGCCTGCTCCTTGGCCAACCAGCTGAAGAAACACAGCGATTCCTCCAGGGCCATGGTCACCACGGTGAGGAGCGACCCCTGTCTCCCCTCTAAGAGACTCAAACCTCCGCAGGCTTTGTCTTCTATTCCCTTCTCAAAATAAATTTCATTCTGACCACAGTCCAGGAAAGGTAGAAGTGGGCATTTTACCCTCGGTTTTCCCAGGTAGGGAGAACTGAGGACAAAAAATATAGTAACTTTTCCAGGTTTGCAGTGAGGTAGGTGTACGGTGGGATTAGAAATAGAATCTCAGTCAGCGATTCCTGGCACAGCCACAGAAATGCCCTTTTCTCTCGGGATCCTCTCTGCGTTGGCACTTCCTGCATCTCTGTTGGCCTAAATGTCTGCGATGAATGAACTCCCATCAATTCAAGCTTCTCTGAGGTCCTGTCAGCAAAGCACTGCTCTCATTACACAGGGAACCGTGGTGATAGTACCCCTGGGGGAAGCGGGGAATCATACCTGCTTTAAAGCAGCTGAAAGATGGGTCGGCCCCTCACTGTACCTGGTGCCCATGAGTGATGCTATCAAGAGAGGCCCTGCCCAGGTGAGAGGGAAGCCATGCTTCCTGGGCATAGGCTCATCTTCCTGAGTCTAGGGGAATCATGGGACCCCTGCAATGAGTTTGGGGGTGATTCTGGGGAAATCAGGGAATCTGTACCACCCCGTCTGTCTCTTCCTGTGCAGGTGAGGCTTTGGGGTTACAGAATGGCCAGCAGGGCCAGGCCTGGGCTCTGAGATACATGGCCAAAGTGAGAAGAGGCTCAGCGTGGAGGGCCACCAGCACAAGTAAGCCCCAGTCAGTGTGTGGGCCAGGCCCTTCCCCCCACAGTCAACCTGGCAACTGGGAGCTCAGGTGCCTATTCATTACGAGGGGAGTGTCATGACAGAAGGGTCCGTGGGGATGGTGCCACGTGCACACCAGAGTGGTTAGAAGGAATTTTGGCAGTGCTGAGCGTAAATTTGTGTCTTTTTCCTACACTTGTTTTTCAATAAATCAGCTGGGGATGCAGGGGAGCGGTGTTAATTAAAAATGACAGAGAAAAGTAAAAATTGAAGCCTGCTATTTCAGAAAGTGAAGAGATGAGCTTTTGGGAAAGGACACGCTGTTTAGTTTATATCCTTCCTTATAATCCCAACTGTGAGAAACAAGTTTTGAAGATGGTGAAGAAGAAAGATATGCCCAGCCCTTGGTCTCCAGGTGACAGGGTGCAGTGGTGGACAGCATGAGCTCTGGGCCAGCCCTCCTGGGCTCAGGTTCAAGTGCCCACCTGTCCGTGCCTTGAGCTCCTTGTCTGTTAGCATGGCAATGATCCTCTCCACTTCTCTGAGTTGCAATGAATGAGTAAATACTTGGAAAGCTCTTATAAGAGTATCTATCACACTGCAAACATGGTTCACAGTTCTTCTAATATCACAGATGATTACCATCTGGGCATATTTCTTCCTGGTTCTTATGGTTTTATGCATTATATTTCACACAAGTGTATCCAGATGAAATTTTCATCTTTGAGAGAACTTGCTCATTATTGAAAACCAGTCATAAGGGAACCCTTGGCCTTATGGTCCTAGGGGCCTTCCCTGGCATGCAGGAATCGCTGCTTCATGTCATTGCTGAGTGTTTTACTTAAGAGACTGAAAGGCTTGGTGAGGGCCCATGACTCGGGGTCATTGCCAGGGGATGTGAATCCTGACCTTGTCAGAATCCAGTTACTCTTGTCTAGTTACTCTGTGCGCCTTGGAGCTTCTCTGTCCACAGCTCCCAAACAGGGAGCAGTCAAATGCCATGTAGCTGGGAGGCTGAGGAGTTAGATGCGGAAATCCCAGCACAGATGCTGGTCCTGAGGTCTGCTGGTTCACAAGTTCCTCAGGAGCTCTCCAGGTGCAGTCTGATGCTGGCCCCCACATGCAGAGGGCAGGGAGAGGAGAGAGAGAGTTGGCCCTTCCAGGTTGGTAGGTGGCAGGTCGAATAAGCAAGGGACTCCAGGAAGCCTATCTTGGGCGGCCACAAGCCAAGTAGATCTCCCCACTGGCCCACCAAATCGTCAGTTTTAGAGAAGCCTTACTAGGCTTTGGTCCCGTCTACTGGCCAGATGGTCTCAACACCACACCACACCAGAAACTCAAGGCTGTGACCCTGAGGCAGTCTGGAAGTGGGGAGGGCAGGCAGGACACACTTTCAAGGAGAAGGACCTCTGACTGCCGGGGTCCAGCTCACAGATCACCTGGCGATCACATCTTCTCTGCGATGGTCTCCAACATGGTTACTTTGTCTCAGAATGGACGCTGCCTCCTCCCTTGAAGGCAGTGAGCACAGCAGTGTGTCCAGCTTCCCACCAATGCAGGGTCTCTGTTTCTCAGAGTCTGAGGAGTACAAAGACATCATCCAACCCATGCTGGAGGAGAAGCTGCACCTTGGGCAGGGGATGCTGGCAGAGAGGCAGATGCTGGCAGATATGCTCAAGTGAGGAGGGCTCTGTGTGGGGATGCTGGCACGAAGGGGTGGGCACCTCTGAAGTGGGGCAAAGAGCAACTTTGGGCCCTGAGAAATCTCCATGGCAGGCCCATGTGCACAAATATTTGAAAAGCAATTAGAGAACAGTAACGGGTAAATTGTGAATTTTAATTATTCAGAGCCTCATTTACTCTTTTTTTTTTTTAAAGATAACATATTGAACTAAAATTCACACAACATAAAGTTGACCAAATTCAAGTGAACAATTCAGTGGTGTTCAGTACCTTCCCAAAGTCATGCAATTTCTTCTTTTACCTCTAATCTCAGTCATCCACTGACTTATTACACCTTTTTCTTTAAAAAAGCATTTCTGTCTTCTTGACTGTGCTAATCTCATGTTCTTTCCGTGAGCACCAGTAGTACCTGTCCACATTTCTGTGTCTTTCTATGTCCATTCACTGTGTGGTGTGTCATTTTATGTGGAAATGGGCATGGCTGAAGTGAGGAACTGAATGGACATCTTATTTTTTTCACTGAAGTACAGTTGATATATAACACTTTGGTGATTTCAAGTAAAAAACATAGTGATTGGAGAGTAATCTACATTATTAAGTGCTTACCCCAAGTAGTGTACTTACTATTTGTCAGTATAGAATGATGTTACTTAATTATTAACTCCATTCTCTATGGTCTGCTTTCATCCTTGACTAATGTATATATGAGTGAGGTCTGGTGCCTCCTTATCACCTTCCCTTATCTCACAGACCTACCCCAGCTCCTGCCCATGGTAGCTACCATCAATTCTCAGCATCTATGATTCTATTTCTGTTTTGTTTTGTTTATAATCCACACATAAGTGCAGTCATACGGTATTTGTCTTTCTCTGCCTGGCTTATTTTACTTAGCATAATACACTCTAGCTTCATCCATATTGTTGCAAATGGCAAGATTTCTTTCTTTTCTATGACTGAAAAATACTCCATTGTCATTGCATACATGTAGCACGTCTTCTTTATACATTCATCTATTGATGGATACTTTGGTTGCTTCCGTATTTTGCCTGTTGTAAATGAGGCTGCAATAAACCTAGGAGTTCATGAACCCTTCTGAATCAGTCACTTTGTTTTCTTCAGGGAAATTCCTGGAAATAGAATAACAGGGTCATGTGATGTTTCTAGTTTTAGTTTTTTGAGGAGCCTCCATACTGCTTTCCATAGTGTCTGGCTCAATTTACATTCCTACCAACAGTGTGAGAGGATTCCCTTTTCTCCACATTCTCAACATTTCTTATTTCTTGTCTTTTGGACGGTGGCCATTCTGACTGGTGAAAGGAGCATCCCATTGTGGTTTTGATTTGCGCTTCCTTGATTAGCCATGTGGAGCATCTTTTCATGTGCCTATTGGACATCTGAATGTCTTCTTGGGAAAAAGGTATATTTATGTCCTCTGCCCATTTTTAAATTGGGCTATTTGAATTTTGGGTGTTGAGTTGTATGAGTTCTTTACACATTTTACAGGGCCTTCTTTTTGAAGCAGGTTTAGGAAGACATTTGGCTTTTTGCTACCTGAAAAAAAAGATGAATGGGGTGTCAAAGGACCTTACAGGAGCACAGTCTGACCCACAGGAAACTTTTGTTTTCCCTTCTCTACCAAACCTGTGTCAGAATTCTGCTGCAATGGCTTCTTGGGGAAATTCTCACAGAAATATTTCTGAAAATCCTTAGACCCTGTCACTCATCCTTTCTGACTCTTAAATGCTCTCTCCTCTCCCACCTTAGGGAATGCATCACCCTGACTGAAGGTCAGGAGCAAGACCTGGCCCAGCTGAAGCATAAGTTACAGGAAGTGGGAAAGGTGTCTGTCCTCCTCAAACAGCACTTCCAGGACGTCCTCAGCCGTGATGACCCGGACAACTATCAGGGACAGGCCTTGTGAGAGAAACTGGTGGAAAGACACAGGCTGGTGGAGCGCCTTGTCCTCAAGCTCAGCCCAGGGGAGGCGGCCACAGGCTCTGACCCTAGCTCCTCTGACTTGCCAGGGCCTGAGGACCTCCACTAGTAATGTTTTATTAGCTGTCCTGGTTTCCATGTAGAAACTGGGAAAATGAAAGAGCCAGAATTGGCTGGGTGGGAACAGAGAGGATAAATGCACAGGGTGGGGGTCAGAGTGTGCTGACTGTCTGCTTCCTCCCTGATGGACTGTGGCCTCTGGGGCCCGGAGGCAGCACCCACCTAGTGTAAAGGACAAAAGGAAGGATGTGGCAGGAGGCAGCTTGTTAGAGAGAAAAGAGCCCTGTTTTGCATGTGGAAGTTCCCAGGCTCCAGGCTGAGAGCTGTCATTACTCTCTGTGGGCAAATGACTGATTATTTCCTCAATTTCCATCTCATCATCTGCAAAATATACCAGATAAGCTGTTAATGGTTGCTGTATGATCAAATGTGGGAGCATTTATGAATGCACTTCAGAAAGATGTAAGCCTCTGTGTGGATTTCAATAAGATACTTGATGTAGCAGAGCTTGGTGGGAAATTGTTTAGACGGGTACACTTTCTATATGGAGAATTTCCCGTGACATCACATAGAAGCCACTGGGGGACCCATGACATCCCCAGTGTAAGAATGGGGGGCAGAGTGGTTTCTCCTGTCCTTGGCGGAAGGAGAGGGCTCTATGCAAGAGCAGTGACGGACACACACCTGTGTCAGTGACAGGACTGTGGCAGGATAAAGGATACCGTTGCAGAAATATATATGGAAGCAGGAATATGCATCCAGTGATATTGGGAACAAAAGACAATTTAAATTTTGCCCAGTCTCAGGCAGAGCATGGCACAGTAGTGACTCACCAGAACAGACATACACCGTCCAGTGGGTCTGAAACCCATGCTACAGCAGTGCTTTAAAGCAACACGTTAGAACCTCAAGATGACACTAACACACACAGAGATGTTTATGTTCCTACAGCTGCAGAACCCACTGGGTTGGTAGTGGGCAAAGTGTGAAATAGCTGCATTGAAAGTTCTGAATTTCTTTTCAGGAAACCATTAAGATGAGGAGTATAAGCACACAGAAGGAACAGTAACTCCCAGGTAAAGTGAGCCATTGGGAGCTGGTAATGAGGGTGAGGAGGTAAAATATGGAGGCATAAATGAGGTCAAGAGTCACAGGTGGCAGGCGGGAAGATAAGCACAACTGCAGATTGTATAGATTTAATTCACTCAACCAACAGTGGAATGGCACAGTTTGGTTAGTTGTCTGTTGTCTCTAGGGCACTTGTTCGTGTGACTCAGGTGAACTCTCCAGCCTCAGATCTCTTGCACACACAGAAAATACCTATTCTCTCCTATAAATGAGCAACAGGATAAAGGTGCATATCAGCTGCCTACACAGTTGTCTGGATCCTTGGTAGGAAGGTAACCAGCTAAATAATTAGTAAATAAATAAGTAGCAAAATAAAGCACCATGATAAGAACATACACAAATATTTACTTGCCAAATGGCAATATTAAGAGAAAGAAGCCTGCAAGGCAGAATTTATCTGACAGTTTATAATACCCCAGGTGTCGATTAACTGAACACTCTGATAAATCCCACAGCACAGAGAGGCATGGTGGTGGCACGTGATATGGTCTCCATTTGTGTCTCACATAATATCTGTCCCAGTATGGGAGGTTTGGGACTCATCTTCTTAGGCGGCTTACAGCTGGTACACTGAGCATCTGCTGCTCTCTCTCTGTTACCCTGCCCTATGTCAGTCCCCTGGCGCTCTCCATAAATTGGACAGCTGTTTCCCTCTCGAGGGGAATGCCCTTTGCTTTCAGGGACGGCTCGCTACACCTGCTATCAGAACCAGCTAGGAAGCCATGGTGTCTGATACTCTTTGTTTATTTAATCTTCTGTCCTCTCTGTACCACCCGGCACAACTTCAGGAAGTTGAGGAGGAGGAAGTCCTACAGGGCTCACAGGACTGTGAGCTGGATGGAGCCTGTGAAAGCTCCCATTCTGAAGGGGATAAAACTACAACTGGTCTCCTAGGTAAGCTCCATGTTGTTTGTTACCCACACTTGCCTAAACTGAGGAAGGTCATGACCCCTTGAAGACAGGCACTATGACACATACTGGGTTAAACAGGCATCAGGTGGGCTAGGGAGCCTTCAGCCCGTCCAAGCCCTGGCCACCCCTCTGTCCCCCTGGCCTCAGTGTCACGCCATCATAACCAAGTCAGGCATGACAAAGTCTCACCCACCTGGGGGACATCCACAGGTGGTGTCTATCGGACAGCCTAGTTCAGATCAAATGTCTCTTGTCACCTGCAATGGTCCAATTTGGGGTTTAGAACAATATCCCTGAGGATCCTATGCCTGACCAAAAGCACTGGCAGGCGTGTCACATATCAGGAGAGGTGGTCTCCCTGCTCTCAGTCTGTCTCTCCCTCTCCCTGTTGTCTTGCCTTAGCTAAGCAGTCATCTGAAAGCCAGGCCATGCCCAACTCTATCGTTAGCTTCTCTGCATGTTTCTGTGAAGCCAGGCTGGGCTCTGCCATCCCTCAAACTACAAAGAGCCTTTGTGCCGCGTAGCGCCAAAGTTTTCTTCTGACTTGAGGGTGTAGGCAGCTGACCCATCAGTCTAGTCTCAGGCAGAAACTCCTCTAGACCATTGCCGAGCACGGATCTGATGGGACCGGCTCATACGCAGCCACACTTCCAGGAATAGCTTGGGCTCCCTCGCTGGGATTCCTGTGGGACATACATTATTACCTGCTTGCACAGAACCAGACCAGAGGTTATTGTGATCCAGTTGCAGATGAGGGAGAGAATTTCCCCAATGGGTCTGGAAGCAGTCCTGTCTCTTTGTCATAAGATTTCACCTGAGGGATCCAGGAAATATGCCTGCTAGAACATTACATTCTTGTGCCAAACATATTAATGTCCTTGTGGTCTCAGTGGTCAATGAGTTGGTAATGTGTGAAGTGTGATGTCTTTAGTGTGACCTGCTGTCTCTGGATTCATTTGCAGATGATCAGAATGATCATGAGGGAGAAGACGGACAATGGCCAGTGTGCCCCAGGTAACTCGTAAGACTTGTGGGCTATGAATTTCAGTGGTGACAGCTGTGGTCCTCTAGACCCAGGAGAAAACAGAGAGGGCCGCATATAAGGATTTCATCCACTCAGCCAATAGCCAAATATCTCCTTTAACAACCTTATATATATAT